AACATATAAAAACTCGCTTAGTGAAAAAACAATTGCAGTACATGTGTCACATATCGTTACTTGTTCCAGTGCTGTCAGTGCTTCTGAGTGAAATGTTGAGATGATTACACATCACAAGCCTAGGACTTCTGCTCCTATCGTTGATAGCGACCTGTAGTTTTGTGTATGAAGAAAATAGAGCCATTACTTGAAGCAAGATATTTTCCTCTGTTTTTTGAGGTCATCTACTACTCAACAAGCAAACGGAAGCGATATCGATACCAAGGAGGCTGTGGAGCCAAGCGCCGAAAGCCAAGATGAAAGGGTACTTTCCAAACATTTTTTATGACAGTCAATTTTTCCTGAAACTTTTTTTGCTAGATTTTTATGGAAAATCTTATTCAAGCTAGTTGAGAAATTGGCTGATTCAGGTCAACGAGGTGAAAATCGCGGAACGAAGCCGTGCAAGTCACATACCAGAAGCTGCTCTTCCAGCAGCTATTGGTGTACCACTGCCAAAAGCAAAGGATCAACCAATTCTTCCCGATGGTATTTTTTAACTATATTTTTGAACAAAATAAAATTTGAAATAACTGAAAAGAAGACGCTCGAGTATCTTTTCCTGATTGAAAAGTAATAAGCTAATGCGAACTGCCAACTTTCCCAACTGCTTTTAACAATGCTGCAACTCGCCAGTGGTCAGCAGCTGGCTATTCTGAAATTTGTTTTGTCTCTGGACGACGAATTACCTCCTCCATAATTCTTTTGCCGGTTAATTCATCTGAATTTTCATCTCTCATCAACGATTTTGGTACTTTTTGAAATAGAGAGAGAAGAGGAAGAATTGAAGGCAAGGATTTGCTAATTGAAATTCGTGCGACTGCTTACAGATTTCGATTGTGCCTCAAAGCCGAATGGCCTGTACTCAATCGGCTGCAAAACGGAATATGTTACTTGCGTTCTTGGCCATCCGTTCTACTTCCATTGTCCCAGTAACCTGATATTTTATGAGGCTGCGCAAACTTGTGATCATGCAGAGAACATCGCTGAGTGCTCAAATGTCTCCTTGGGCACTAGAGACGCTCATGAGTACATTTATAAATTCCTTTGCTCATTTGCCGCAGTGTTTCAAGGCTACCGTTTTCGAACTATCCACTAGTGCAAAAAAGAGGGGGACTTCTGCGGGAGTGGGGGAGGGGGGAATCTTGTGCGTTTAGGGGAAAAAATTTTATATTCAATAACGCTCCTGTATTGAACATTTCCTGTCTCAGATTCTTTCCAGCCGCTGAATTGTAGTCGCTTATCAAAATTTGTGGGAAATTTTTCCACTTTACAGATACCAACCAACGTTATTGTCACGACCACCAGGAACGCCGCGGAAAATAACCAGAATCAAAAAAAGCCGAAGAGTTGGATCCGTTTCGATCCATTCGCCAGGTAAGAGACTTTTTTAGTACCGCCCTGGTTGTACTTGAAATTCTTTTTCTCTCTTAGATCTTACCAAAAATTTGATAATTCAGAATTTTCATAAGACACCGCTTGAAAAGCTTAAAAACTGTAGACTTTTCAGATTACTGCAAGAAGTTGAACGATGGCATCTATTTTGACGATTGTGGGCGTAATTATGTGATATGTAGCAAGCAAACTCCACACATTTATTCCTGCCCTAAAGGTATGTAGCCCATATTTTCTAAGATCTATCGCTAACTGTATTTTTTTGTCCTCTGTCCCTCCTGCTTTTACTTATGTGAGCTGAACTATCGTACTGACGAAGTCTAGCTGCAGCCTTGAGTTAAGACCGTATGCAGTTTTAGATCGAAGCGTTTTAATCTCAGTTAAATTCTTCACGTACGTACATATTCAATCTTTAGCGTTTCAAAATACCGCATTTAGTTAGTAACTATTCTTTGAAAAAATTTAAAACACCGCTTTAATCCAGTGAGTAACCTAGCATTAAATATTAAACTTTTAGCTAGCGCCACAAGCCCGGTCACTGAGCAGAATTAAGCACATGTCGACCGAATTCTAGCGACCACTATGAAGTTTGCACCTCTTAGTCGATGAAATATCTCATTGTTTCTAAGTCTGGTAAGGTTCAAGACGAGGTGGTGATGCTCAATGTACACTAAAGACGCTCGAGATGGTGAATGCCTTGCCACGGTCTTCCATCCGGAGAGCCGTTGAACCGACGATTCTTTCAGCAGACGAAACGAACATGTGCATCGCTAGGCATTCTTTTGAGCTAATTTCAGGTGAAATCATGAATCCGACAAGTAAAACTTGCGACGCGCCACGAAACATTCCAGAGTGTAGAGGACGCAACAAAGAAAACAACAAGCTCAATTAATTTTGAATGTGCTGACGCAGCAAAAATTTTTGAAAGTCAAGAAAAAAAAGTTTTTGAAGTTACTCACACCGAGAATTATCCATACTTCCCCATTTTTTATCACTCGCTCTTTTTCTGATAAAAACACTGTTTCCTGAAAAAGTACAGTAAAGTCAAAC